TCTGCTTACCTTCAGTTTAACCGAGTCGCTGGTGGTGGAATCTACCAAAGGAAAGAGACGAGCGTTAGAAGCAATGACATCTAAACATCCTCCATAAACCCCAACAGGAAACTATGCAGAGTCTAATCATCTGTTCAACACTACTGATGAGTAACACACACAACGGTTTTACTGACAGAGAGACAGAAATGATGGGAAACAGGCAGAAACAACGAGATGAAGCGAAGACAAAGGGCCACCAAAAAACACAGAGATAGAGCGTTTAGACCTGGTCCTACCGAAGAGGCCGATCCAGAGTCTCAGCTAGAGCAGAGAGAGAGAGAAGGAAACGCTGACAGATCAATAACTCACAGCCCAGCTGGGAAGAAAACCTCTTTTTAGTCACAGAACACGGGTCTGAACATGGAGGACAGATGGAGAAGAAGCAAGCAGCAGCTTTGCTTGAGTTCTGTCCGTTCTGACAGATGATCACTACTAACCCCGTTGGTCATGTGACTCCGCCTCCCCGCACGCTGCCTGCGCCATCTTTGCTCTTTATTGCCCCCACAACAAATCCCATGATGCTTTGCGAGGAGAGCTCTTGCAAAGCAACCTGGGATATATCTGCTCATCTAGAGACTATGGATGATCACTGCTTTACAAGGTGCATTGTGGGAAATTTCGAGATATTCAGACACTTGTATAAAATGGCATCATCCCGATAGGCCTCTATGGAGGGGTTATGAACTGGTGGAGAGGTGAGCTCCCCCTGGTATCCACGCCCCCCCGATGGTTCCAGGCTCCTCGTGTTTTCGGAGTAGCTACCTGATCATCTTATTTACTGTGTTCCAAACATATGAACGTTTCTATTGTTGAGGCTGGTTGGTTATGGAGTTAATTTTGGTCCATTATTATAGGAACATTATTTTTCCAGTTAGGGAATAATTTAACTTTAACTTTTTTATCATATAGTGGTAAAATTTAAATATTATATGGATAATAATGTAAATAATATTAACTGAACTGATCTCACATTGGAGAAATTTATCTCTGCATTTAACCCATCTCCTTGGGGAGCAGTGGGCGGCCATTGTGCGGCGCCCAGGGAGCAGTGTATGGTTAAGGGTCTTGCTCAGAGACCCACAGTGGCAGTCTGTGGGAGTGGAGATTGTACTCACAACCTCAGCATTCCAAGCTCTATGCCCCCACTCCCCCCAATCACATGATTGTACATTTGGAACTATTTTATTCACATGTGTATCCCATGTAAAATATGTGATCCGCCTCCATGTCCTAAAGGAGAACTTTCTGCAGCGGCTTCAGGGCGTTCTGCAGGTTCTGCAGCGCCTCCAGGCCTGCGGTGTTCTGCAGCGGCGCCGTTCAGCACCGGTGGTTCTACAGCGGCACTGTGGCCGCCTCACCGGCCAGCATTCCCCTCCTCACCTGAGGCGTCTCCAGGCATGCCCGGCCTGCCGATGTTGGACAACAGATGATCGATGTTGGGGACCGGTTGGACGTCCCCTTTGTCCTCTGAGGTCTGCAGACACACAGACGCCCACAATCATAAAAAAATTGGATCCTGCATGGCGTCCGTCCATCAGCAGAGGGAGAACCTCACCTTCTCTTCTCGATCCAGTTCTCCGTCACAGAAGATCCAGTCATGCTGCAGAATCAAATCGGGACCATTTTTAATGCAAGTTTAACTTCTCTTCAGGATCTGAGGATGCGGTGGGAGTTCTTACATGCAGGATCAGTGTCTCCACTATTCTGTATCGGTCAGGCATGTGGGTGACCATGTCGGTCATGTTGTCCTCTGACGTCCTCACCAGGGTGGGGCCAAACACCAGAGCCAGGTTTCTAGGCTCCATCTGCAGCAACAGAACTTCGTCAGGGATTCAAAGTTGAGATTGAGGAGAACCGTGAGGACACCGAAGGTTACCTTGTTCTTCTCTGAGTGGTCTGCTACTCTCTTTAGGTGACCCACCAGGAACTTGAGGGTGTGGTAATAATGATCTGGCAAGCCGAGGATCTGAAAGGAGCCGAGGAAAGAGTGTGAGGAGAAATTACGGCTTTAATCTCAGCAGATTTTACCGGGAGAAGAATTTCCACACCAGTTTCTTCATGCTCGTTAATCTCTCCTCTGCATCTTCTATCCGGTTGGCCTCAATGAAGCTGATATATTTATCTGCGGACAAAAAAATCTCAGCAATCCTGAAAGGCAGGAAACTGCAGAGCGAACGAATCAAACGGGATTAAAGCGGCTCGCTCAGACTCACCGTCTGTGAACAGAGGCTCCGGCAGTTTACGAAAGAACGACTTCAGCAGGCTGCTGATGACGTTCAGATCTTGCCACCTCTGTGGACAAAGAGACGGAGGCGTTAGAACCTGATCTGGATCCGGCCTGAAGAGACGCGTCCTTCCAGTTCCCCTCACCTCCTCAGCGGTGTCCATGTCCAGGCCCTTGTTCAGGTGCTCCTGCAGACAGGACACCATGGCGTTGTTCCCGGGGACGCGGTAGATCCCGGTGTACTCCAGACCCGTGGCCTCCACCACGCCGCAGCACATCTCCACAATACGAGGGACAAACTATGGAGAGGAGAACGACTTTGTTTCAATGATCCCCAGAAACTTTCATGTTTTCCACCTTTCCTATGGCCGCACCGTAACCCTGAGGTTCACATCGCGCGCAGAAGGAGCAGCAGAAACGTGCGTGCTGCTTTATTTCTGACGCTTGTCCAAGTTTAGTTCTGACGCGTGGCTGAAGCATCTTTGCTACTCTGGCTGCGCGGTCAGAAAGTGGGTCTGATGCGCGTTGGGCGGAGCTACCCTATCATTTCTTTGCCTGGAACAATGGCAGCTATATTTGCTGTGATCAGTGGGTAGAAAGTAGTTTTAACCTATGTTGAAGGAGAAAGTCCTCCTGAAAACATGGTCAGTGCAGTCAGTTCATCCAGATTACCATCCTGCCTTCAACGATTATTTCTCTGTCACTGGGAATCCCCAGCAGCAGCTGCCTCAGGCCTGCTCGCCTCTTGGGGGTTTTCCGCTGTAGCTGGAAGGTGTTTTTCATGTACGTAATCCAAACTGCAGGCACCAGGGTAATAAAAGTAAACATGTTTAACGGCAGGTATCTACATTTTAAGTTAATTTAGGCTTTATGAAAGTCGCAGGGAAGTGGCTGTTTCAACCGTTGCATTTCCAAATTCTCCTGAGTGGTGCCCGACTTTACACGAGTGAATAAAATGATTGGTCGATTATCAAGCGCTTTGCATCAGCAGTGCTGTGTCCGTTTCCCTGCCAGCTCCCAGATCAGCTTCTCTGATTGGTTGATGTGGCGCGTCCAACAGCTAAAGTTTAATTTTTCAACTTCAGCAGCTGCTGCTTCTGAAGCGCCTCAGATGCTCATGAGGCGCTGTTCTAGACGCTGCAGGACCTTCTGCTGCACCTTGATGCGTGTCAACCATTGACTTTGCATGGAAACCAGCTGATTCTGCTGCCTCTGCTGCTTGCAGTCTAAATGTAGCATAAACCTAAACCTAAGACGCACTTTTATCCTAATTCTAACCTCTGGCTAAGAAAACTGGACTAGAGACACTTTACTAATCCTAATCCCTAAAAACAGATTTTAATAATCATATATTCTTTCCCCAAAATCATTCTAACTAATCCTAAACCTTTCGCCTCAACACAACCGAACCCTGAAACCTCCTTCGCCTTACAACACAACATGTAGAACTAGAAAACACAGATGTTCCCTCAGGTCAGCCCAATAAAGGCGTCACTTCCAGAAGAACTGGTGGAGCGGGTCGGCCTTCTGGGCGGCGCTGGGACAAAACCGGTCTACAGAGGCAGCCATCGAACGGGAAGGATAGAAAACTGCTGGTTCTTTGACCTTCTCAACTGGATGATCATCTATAAGTGTTAAAGGCCAGATGAGTGCCCCTTCAGTAAAAGGACATTCTTTGCCCACCTTATAGTTGACAGCAGGCTGACAGTCCTCCAGTCTCACCCCAAAGGCTTTGGGACTGCAGCTTTTCTTTGTTTTCTTCATGAGGTTTATTCCCCACAGAGCCTTGTTGTCGTCTGAAACCAAACACAAAGACATCTTTTTATTTGAATCTTTCTGAGTAAAAGTTTAGTAAAAAAGCTCATTTATGAAGTGGAGGGAAATTTAGATGCCAAGAATTTTTAAAAATGAACCATTTAATCCATCAAATGAATGGTAGAGCGGTACAGCATATAGCTCTACTAACTCAGCTGTTCAGAACGCTACAAACCAGGCATAAAAAAAAAATTAAATAATCTATGCGTTTTTCAACATGTTTTTTTCTCCCACATTTTTACATTTGATCACTGCTGCACTTTAAGAAATGGAAATTTTGCTTTTTTGTATACACCCTGTGTACAAAATGACAATAAAGTCTAAGTTTATTTTAGAATTCTTTGTTCTCTTTTACGCAGCTACAGCTCAAACTGTTCGATGAAGCTGCAGGGTTTAAAAGTTCCCAGCTCACCATGTTTGTTCTCACTGTGCGACCCAACGCTCTGATGCGATCTACCTGCTCACACTGGTCTAAAAACCAGGTGGGACTCAGCTCCACAGTGAGATGGCGCTACTTTGACTCGTCTATCTGGAAGCCAAATGAGTAGAAGAGGAATCTGAAGCTCACTAGAGTGAAACGCGCTGCCTTGGCAATTTGGGCAATTTTGTGCTGAAAGCTCTAAAAAGAAAAGGAGACGACGTATTTGGACAAAGACATGGCTGAGCAAACGTGGCTACTACAGTCTGTCAATTTTACAGAAAGAACTCCATTTCACTCATTGCACCCCCGCCATGCTGCTGGGTTTTCATCTGAGAGGAAGAAGAAGAATCTTTGTTTGCCCACTGAGCGATTTGCCCACGACCACCTTACGACGGCCGACTGGATTTCAAACATGTTTGATTCCTGATGGGAATCAAACACGCACTATCAGGCTGAAAGTTCGGCCCAATCGAAAAATTCTCGTACGATTGAAGATTCCTGTAAAGCCCGGCTCAACAGGAAGCAGCCGTTGTGAGGGACTCACTGACATCAGGAGAGAACTGTGGGGAAAAAATTTAAAATAGAAGAAAGTTGCTCCTCAAATCTATCCGAAATCAGAGGAATTAATTTCTGCTGAGTCATGAAACTGATTTTATTTATTCTCTCTTTGTGTTTTCCTGCACTGCTGGCAGGTTCTCTGACACTAAAACCGCATTTCCTGGTGCAAAGTGTGCCGTAGGTGACATCATTGACATTATTCTGTTGCAGGTTCGGGTCAGTTTGGCGCCGCAAACTGTTCCTGATGGAGTCACATACAGGAAGCCTTTTTAAAGTAAAAAACAAACAAACAAGATGACACCCACCGGCTCTGAGCGCTCGGCTCACTGACGTCTGTTCTGTTTTAGCCAGGAGGAAGTCGGGCACCATGCGGTGGGCTCTGGGCGAGGAATCCGGCTTGTTGCCCGTCAGACTAGAAACAGGAGGAAACAGGAGCACAGAGTCAATGTAGAGGCCTGGTTCTGATGGTCCACTAGAGAGGCCTACGGCTACATGTTGAAACTAGCAACTGATATGAAAGCATCAATAAAGGCTAAACTAATGGTTATGGAAATTTAAGGAAGCACAGATCCAGAGAGTTGGTTAATATGCACTTTAATTAACTTCTCATTTTAAATGTTATTCATCTTGATCCATTAGCAAATAAAAAAAAAAAAAACATTTTTAAAGAAAAATCTACATGCTAACAGTTTCTGCTAACCTTTCTGTGACGGCCTGGTGGTTAGGGCATAGAACTTGGAATCCAGAGATTTTGAGTTTGAGCCCCACTCTGGGTCCCTGAGCAAGACCCTTAACCAGACACTGTTCCCCGGGAGCCGCACAATGGCAGCCCACTGCTTTTGTATCTATGCTTCTTTTTCTATGTCTGCTTCTGTCTCCTTGAACCCCAGTCGGCCTCAGCAGATGGCCGCTCACACTGAGGCTGGTTCTGCTGGAGGTTTCTTCCTGTTAAAAGGGAGTTTTTCCTCTCCACTGTCGCTACAAGCATGCTTAGTGTGAGGGATTGCT